AAAAAAAAAAAAAGACAAGCATAAGAAGACACTGAAAGAGAGAAGAAGGTATATGGTGGAGGAATTGCAGGACCTGAAGAATGATACAGTGGTGAATCCCCTGAGTTTTCCTTTCACCTCATATGTCCTAGACAGGGAACTAAAGAATCCAGAATTTATTGATAAGATGACTGGACAGAAAAATTAGCAAGGATACAGAACTCAACAAGACCATCAACCAACGGGATCCAGTCAAACTTACAGAATATTGCACATGACAATAGCAGAATACACATCCTTTTCAAGCACCCACAGGGCATGTATGTAGCAAGATAGACCATATCCTAGGCCAGAAAACAAACCTCAGAAAATTTAAAACAATAAAAATCACACAGAGTGTGTTCTCTAATGACAGTGAAATCAAACTAGAAACCACTCGCAGAAAGGTAACAGAAAAACACCCAAACACTTTGAAATTATAAACAACCACTTCTAAATAATCAATGAGTCAAAGAGAACAGGTCAAAGAAAATCAAAAAACACTTTGAAATGAATAAAAGTGAAAATACAACATATCAAAATTTGTAGAGCACAGCTAAAGCAGTGCTGAGAAGGAAAATTATAGCATTTAAGTAATTAGAAAAAGAGGGAACATTGCAAATCAGTAATCCAAGTTCTCATCTCAACAATCTGGAAAAGTATGAGCAAGATAAACTCAAAACCAGTAAAAGAAACAAAATAAGAAAAATAAGAGCAGAAATGAATGAAATTAAAAACAGAGGAAAAATAGAGAAAATCACTGAAACCAAGAGCCAGTTCTTTGAAAAGGTTTTTTGTTTGTTTGTTTGTTTTGTTTTGTTTTAAGAACAAACCTCTAGCAAGGCTGAGAAAGAAAAAAAAGAGAGAGAGAGAAGATAATAATTACCAATATTGGGGAAAAAAGCCAGAGACTATCACTACAGACCCTACAGACATCAAATGAATAATAAGGGAACAATACTATGAATAACTTTCCACACATATATTCTACAAATTCTATGGAATGAACCATTTCCATGAAAAATAGAAAGTCTCACCCTAAGATGGGGAATAAGGCAAGGATGTTCACTCTCATCACTCTTATTCAACACAGTACAGGAAATTTTAGCCAGTGAAACAAGGCAAGAAAATAAAATGCACAGAGATCAAAAGCAAAGAAATAAAACTATCCTTATTTGCACAGTATACGATTTATCACCTACATAGAAAAATCCCTGAAAATCTAAAGGAAAAAAATCCTAGAATTAGCAAATTCAAATAATAAGGTCATAGGACACAAAATAAACATACAAAAATATAATTGTATCTGTATATACTCACAATGAACATATGGACACCAAAATAAAAAATAAAATATAACTAAAATTCCCCCAAATAAAATTAAATACAGAGATGTAAACAGAACAAAACCTGTATAGAACTTGTATCCTGAAAACTACAAAATGCTGATGAAGAAATCAAAGGATATCTAAACAAATGGAGGAATTTACCATGTTCAAGGACTGGAAGAATCCACACAGCAAGGATGTCAGTTCTTCCCATGTTAATATTTGATAATTGAGTATTGATTTAATGCAATTCCTAACAAAATCCCAACAAGATTTTTGTAGAATAAAGATTTCTCTAATATTTATATGGAAAGGTAAAGGAAGTAAAATAGTGAAAGCAATTTTCAAACAGAATAATCAAGTGGGAGAATTCAGTCCATCCAATCTCAAGACTTATATAGCTATAGGAAATTAAGCTTGTAGGATACTGGAAGAGGGTTAGACTCATAGACCCAATAGAAAAGAATAGAGAGTTCAGATATAAACTCACACAAATTTGCCCGACTGATCCTTGACAAAGGTGCCAAGCAATTCAATGGCAGAAATAGAGCATTTTCAGGAAATAGTGCGTGAGAATTGTACGTTGATAGGCAAAAAAACCCAAAAGCCTTGATCTAAACTTCAAATCTTCTACAAAATTTTAACCTGGATCATGGACTTAAATGTAAAACATAAAACTTTTAGAATAAAAATACAAAAGAAAATTTTTAGCATTTACGGCCAAAGAGTACTTACTTAGACTAGATACCAAAAGCAATAACCATAAAATGCAAAATTGATAAATTGATAAATTGGACCTAATCAAAATTTAAAACTTTTGTTCTGCAAAAGACCTTGTAAAAAGGTCTAACAAAGGATTAGTATCTAGAATATAAATGAAGAATTGTCAAAACTTAACAGATAAAAACTAAACACACACACACATTCGTCTAATTAAAAATTGGCAAAAGATATGAACAGCCTAAGAGCAAATACAGATGTAAAATAAGCACGCAAAAAAGATCCAATTTCATTAACCATCACATTAAAGCCACAATGAGATACCACTACACACATATCAGAATGCCTAAAATAAAATATAGTAACAACAACAAATATTGGTGACCATGGTGACCATGCACAGAAACAGAATCACTCATATATTGCTGGTGGGAGTGTAGAATGCTGCAGCCTCCCTGGAAAACAGTGTGGCAGTTTCCTAACTAACACTAAGCTAAATTAAACATGCTGCTACAATATGATACAGCAATTGTGCACTCCTGGCATTATCCCAGCGAAATGAAAACTTATATTCACACAAGAACCTGTATGTGAACATTCATAGCAGATTTATTTGTAACAGCCCAAAATGAAAACAACTCAGATGTCTTCCTTTCTCTTTTTTTATAATTTTATTTTATTTTAATTCAATTAATTCACATATACTGTATTATTAGTTTCAGAGGAAGAATTTAGGGATTCATCAGTTGCGTGTAACACCCAGTGTTCATTCCATCATGTGCCCTCCTTCATGCCCGTCACCCAGTTACCACTTCCCCCCACCCCCACCCCTCCAGGGACCCTCAGTTTGTTTCCTATGGTTAAGAGTCTCTCATGCTTTGTCTCCCTCTCTGGTTTCATCTTATTTTTATTTTTCCCTTCCTTCCCCTATGTTCCTCTGTTTTGTTTCTGAAATTCCAATATGAGTGAAATCATGATAATTGTCTTCCTTCCCCTATGTTCCTCTGTTTGTTTCTGAAATTCCAATATGAGTGAAATCATATGATAATTGCCTTTCTCTGATCGACTTTCAAAGTGTCCACAGTTAAGCAGACTGTGGTTCGTCCATATCATGGAATATGACAGAGCAGTAAAAAGGAAAGAGCTACTGATAAATGCAACAAGTAGGATGAATTGTCAGGAAATTATCCTGAATAAAAAGTCAGTCCCCAAAGAGGACATACCGCATAATTCCATTTACATAATATTTTCAAAATGAAAACTATTTAGAGATGGAACACCGATCACAGGTTGTCTGGGGTGAGGGAGACGTTGTGGGGAGGAATAAGTGAATGGGGCCATAAGAGGACAACAGGAATGATCTCTGTGGTGATGGAAGTGTTCTGTACTTTGGCTCTCAATTCCAGTATCCTGCCTGGGATATTGTACTGGAGTTCTGGAATATCTCACCATTAAGGGGAACTTGGTAATGTATATACGATCTCTCTCCATCTTATTTCTTATAACTTTATATGAATGTACAATTACCTCAAAATCCAAAGTTTAGTTAAAAACAAACACTCATGATGGTCCAAATGCAACACCATGGAGAAAATGATCTAGTGGTTAAACTATTCCTCCCTCAGTGGGCTGTCACTATATTCCCTTTCTACTCTCATGACTCATGTCTTAGGGGAATAAAGGGCTCTATTTAGAAAGTAAACATGAAAAATGATAAGAATTTTCATAATCCACAATAGACATTTGGGCAGAGTAATATCCACATGAACAGAATGACTGCCTTCTGTTGCTCACTTTACCTTTGATCTCCCTGTCCTGTTCTTCCACCCGGGAGCAGACAGTCCTCGTCAGGCTCTCCACAACTGTGTGCATCAGGTCAAATTCGGCAACATTGTAGACATGAGTGCTGTCTGGTTCAGAGGCGATCTCCTGCAGTTCGTTCTCATCTGCGTTTTTCACCCCTTGCATTGAGGACAAGAGGGAGGGTCATGACATTCGTGCCCCATTTGAAAAACCAACCTCCGTGAGCCTGTCCTGAGCCCACTGTAACCCCCTTGCAATCGAAGCATCTGCTACTTTAAAGAGGTGCATCTCATGTTAGATTGGTTTTGTAAAAATCACCTTCAGCATAATTTTTAAATGATTACATCCTAATTTTGTTCGGTGTTTCTTAACAGGAAGATAATAACGTCTGTCTTGCATGAAGAGTGCAGAAGCAATAGTAATTAAACCAGCCTTCTAAACTATCAATACCTTAGGTTTCAATTTCTAGAAAATAAGTTTACTTAAATTAAGAGCTACTGTTAGAATAAAAATTATATATTTAGAAGTATTGTTATTACTATTTATAGTATTATTATATAGCATTAAGAGACAGCTTGGGAAAAAAATTTTAACATATTCAAGTACAACTGGTTGACTAGTAACCACTGCAATTTTGCTAATGCAAATAGGGAAGCTCTGCTTTTCCCACAATCTTTGTGGAATTCCATTGCTACAAGTCAAGCACAATGCTGGGTGTTTGGAATGCAGCAGGGAACAGAGGGAGACAGAAAATCCTCAGCTCCCATGCAACTTTCCCCATCTATCTTAGCAGTGGTTGCTAACACTTAGAGTGTACATGCTATGCCCCAGGAACTGCGGTGCTTTATGTATATGAACACATTTAATCCCCACAATCAACCCTAGGAATTTGGTACTATTGTTGCTCTCATTGTAAGGTGTTGCACAGCAACGTTAATTAACTTGCTCAAGGAAACACACCAGTGAGTGTACAGCTGGGATTCCCACCAAGTAGTCTAGATCTAAAGTCATATGCTCTTAACCACTATATCATGCCACCTCTCAGAAGATTGCAAATTAAAATGAGTAAGTGAAACTATAAATAGAAAAGGAAGGCACAGTGTTGGGTTTTATGGGTGTGGAGGTAGATTTCTCTTCCCCAGGCTTCAGCAAACAAGGGGCCTTTCTTTATAAATCCGTCATTGCAATCACCTAAAGGTATTTTTTTTTAAAGGTGCTGTGGAAGCAGGGAAGAGAGATTACCTAGGGCAACATGAATGACTTCTCAGATGCCTGGCTGTGCCATTTGATTTATCTTCTACCCTCGACATATTGAGTGACACAGTGTTAGTTGTCTCTGAACTATGTGCTTTAGGGGGTTATAAGATAATAAATACTAATGATTTCCAGGTAATTTCCAGAGAAAAAGTCCAAATTACATCTGTGAGTTCACTTAAAGTTTTGTTTAAAAACTTACCCATTCATTATCAGCAAGACCACAGAATGGAAATTAAACACATAAATTAATCCCATTAGTTTATTGTCTAAAAAGATTTCCTCTGTTGGACAAAAGGATGGTAAAATAAAAAATAAAAATTAGATAAATTTCTCTGATGTTTCTTGCCTGATGGACTTCAACAAAAGCTTCTAAAATGTACAGTTGGATCTGTGTCCACAGGAACAAAAAGCACCGAGTACATGAAGAGACAATGAACTTAATGTCAATAATGCTTTTGATGGCTTTTAAGTAAAACCAGCAAGTTTGTATTCATATATAAGAATATTCTATGAAAAAAAAAACCCTCTAACTCCAATAAAAACAACAAAAAGTATATTTTAAGGAAGATAGCCCCAAATCTCTATTATCTCTCTCTTACCTTTCCAAACTAAATAGTTTGTTGCAAACAGCTTGGAAAAGAGAAGAAAAGGTCATCAGGACTTGGAAGGAATTTGTTCTGCAAGGATTTTGCCTTCCTTATCTCTGTGGCCCAGCACCCACCACAATGCCTGGCACAGAGCATGTAAGCACAAACTTCTTGAATGGAACACTCTATAAACCACATTTCCAGTAGAAAATCTAGGAAGGGGTCAGATGACTTGTTTCTTGTTTGGGGATTTTGTTTTGTTTTGTTCTGTTTTGTTTTGGTTGGCCTCTACTAAGTAAAAGACTTTCCTGCTGCCAAAGAAACTGTAAATATTTTAATCGAGAGCAAAGTTGCATCATCTAAATGTTTTGCAGTTATTCTGAATGTGTGCCACATGTATCCTTTTCCACAAGAACAGTACCTTATAAAGAGTTCATCTCAAAGAAATAATACTGCATATCTAGAACTTTAGGCTTTCTAAATAGTTGCAGGACCTGAATTCCTTGGAAATGATGAACTGGTTTCTCCCTATACTACTGGAGAAGAGATTGCTATAAAGTGATACTAAAGAGAAAGTCCTGGGGTGCCTGGGTGGCTCAGTGGTTATGCATCCGACTCTTGGTTTCAGCTCAGGTCATGATCTCAGGGTCATGATCTCAGGGTTGCGAGATCAAGCCCCAAGTCGGGCTCTGTGCTCAGTGGAGAGTCTGAGATTCTCTCTCCCTCTGCCCCTCCCCCCTCTCTCCTCTCTCTCTCTCTCGAATAAATAAATACATCTTTACAAAAAAAAGAGAGAGAGAGAGAAAGTCTTCACTAATTAAAAGCTAACAAACACGTACCTAATCTTCGCATGCTACTTTACGCTTTTCACATTTTATGGACGGCATCTCATCCAGAGATCCTCACACTATAGGGTATATGAAAGTTACCACCACTTCCATCTTAAATGTAATGAAGTTGGGCTCAGGTCACAAGACTGGCTACAACTAGAGTCAGGACTAGAAACACTCCAGGTCTCCTGGCTTTCAATGAAGTGCCCTTTGCATGTACAATTACATATTGTTTTAAGTAGTTGTGTGTCTGTGCCCATTACTGAAATAGGACCATGATAACACATACCTATGGCGAAGAGTTCTACACCAGATTCACGGAGGTTTCTAGATGGTGGAATAATATCATCTTGGGACTTTCCATCTGTGATTAAAATGCCAATTTTGGACACTCCAGTCCTTGCTCCTGCTTCTGGTTTAAAGCTATTTTCAAAAATGTAGTTCAAAGCAAGACCTGGGAGAAAACAAGAAAAAATAAACACAAACCAATCACCTCTAATAAAAAGTCTTCCAATTCCGCAAAATTAAACCAAAATATGAGTAACTTATTGACCTAAAATTTTTTTTATTAATTAAGATTAGAGCAGAGATCAATGAGTTAGAAACCAGAAACGCAGTAGATCAGATCAATGACTCTAGAAGCTGGTTCTTTGAAAGAATTAATAAGATCAATAAACTACTGCCCAGACTTACCCAAAAGAAAAGAGAAAGAACCCAAATTAATAAAATTATGAATGAAAGGGGAGAGATCACGACTAACACCAAAGAAATAGAAACAATTATTAGAAATTATTATCAACAACTATATGCCAATAAGCTGAGCAACCTGGATGAAATGGATGCCTTCCTGGAAACCTATAAACTCCCAAGACTGAAACAGGAGGAAATTGCCAACCTGAATAGGCCAATAACCAGTAATGAGATTGAAGAAGTGATCAAAATCCTCCCAAAAAACAAGAGTCCAGGGCCTGACGGATTCCCTGGGAAATTCTACCAAACATTCAAAGAAGAAATAATACCTATTCTCCTGAAGCTGTTTCAAAAGATAGAAACAGAAAGCTTCCAGACTCATTCTATGAGGCCGACATTACTTTATTCCCCAAACCAGGCAAAGACCCCATCAAAAAGGAAAATTTCAGACCAATATCCCTGATGAATATGGATTCCAAAATCCT